TCAGAGAATAGGGTTAGATCCGATAGCTAAGGCTTTCACTAGCAATAGCTATGTATGACATAGCTAGGGCAAGTATTTTGATATCTTTGTGAGTAGGCGACTTTTAGTGTAAGCGATCGATGGATTTCGCAGTCGTTTCCGAGAGCATATCAAATTATTCATCCTTACAGATTTTAAATGGTATGCCGTACTGTTGTTGTGAGCCGCGACTCTCGGGACCAATCCTATCTACAACGTTCGCAACTTGCATAGTCGTGGAGGATGAATTGAGCCATATTTTTGATTTGTTAATTAGTCTCAATGTTACTTAGTGTTTGATTAGTGTGTTTGATAGCTTCGCGGACAGTAGACATCCGGTTACTGTTAGTGGGTATTTGTTACGCTGCGCCACCATCCGTTGCCATAAAACCACTGGAGTTATTGGACGATAGCCTCGGATGGCCACTTCGCCCGAGTGATTGTGGAACTAAAGCTCGCACTGGAATGCTTCATCTGCTATTAGGCAATCAATACCTCTCACCTAAATAAACGGTGATAACATGACACTTGTCAAAAAGCAGTCACGAATGGAAGGTGTACGTACTGCAGCATAAGATGCATCAGTGATTTATGAAAGGTAGAGCGGTTAGCCTAGGGTGTTGCAGGTTACATTTGGAAAAAGAAGAAACGCTTTTATACTGTCTTCGTTGACTACGAGACGAAAGGCCATAGGAGTTTACAGCGTATTATACATCTAGCCCCATGCAAAACGGCGAACGCGACTGTAAATGAATTTCGTTTTCGACTCTTTACCGCCCCCACTGAGTGTACCTATGGTCAGATCAAGCCAACGCATTTGGGAGTAGTGCTCCGACCGGTATTAATCCTCGGTGTCCCTGACAAAGAAGCAAGAGAGCCCCTGTAATCGGAATGTTGAAAATTGCTGAGTTTGGAAAGAGCCGGTGGTAAATTGAGGGATCATTTTCAAGCGGTAGTGTGAATGTAATGCGGAGTTCAACCTCAGTCCGGACTCCGGTGAATTTGGTCAATGAGAACGGAGGAGTTAACGCAAACCATTCGTGACAACGGTTTGTAATGGCAACATAATAACGGAAACACTATCCATCGTGCCCATCCAAATGAACGAACAGCCTGTAAATTTCGATATTGATAGCAGTTTCGCAGTAAAGCTGATATGACCAAATTAAATTTTCCGAATGAGCGAATGCGACCATACACTGGACAGATGGCAAATGTCGTGAGCAAATTCGTTACACGCATATCTTAACATAATTTGACGAAATAAAGCCGGTTGTACATTTCTGTAGGACCAGACTCAAACATAATTGATCGCGATTGGATTAGATGTCATGCTGGTATTATGTAAAACGAAAACACAGTAGGAGCGTGTCCGCAACCATCGGATATTTTTCAAAAATGTGTGGCGTACAAAAGACTAGACCAAGTATGTTTGCAGCCCATTTGATACTGAAATAATAGGCAGCACCGCGATTATGAAAGGTGTACATCATTTGTTTTTGGGGACAAGTTCGAAGGTGAGTTCCGTCGGATTCAAAAGGGGCACAATTGAATGTGCCCAGTAGTAAGCCTGAGCAACACAGCTACACATACGCACCTACGTAGTTAGATACACTCACCAATGTACATTAATTACTATGGCTAACATGTAATTTTGTACATTTTCTTATCACTTGTTGGCCTGTTGTCGTTAGCAGGCTTGTATAGGTGTGCCTCGTGTTGTCGAGAATAAAATATGTATTTATTTATATCGCCTGTTTTGAAAAGCGACGATAGCACAAGAATCTGCGGGATTACGGCCAACGAGGCAGTACAGCTAGACGGAGATTTACTGCCGATGAGTGAAGGCAATTGCGTCCCCCTGTTCGGTGGTGGATTTTTACCAAACCAAACCTGGGTGACGTCTACCAATGACTGAATTCGACGAGGCATCAGGTGCTTGTGTCATCATTAGTACCCACTTCGGGTTATTCCCCTACACATGCATGCCTTTTGGAGTGATATCTGTGCCAGCCACCTCCCAACGCATTGATACACTGGTGAAAGGAGCGCCAACTAGTTGTGACAACTCGAATAACAGTTTGATCAATAAGCGCACCAATACTGAACGTTAACGTTAACACACCTCTGAAGAGATCGGCAGAATCTGGTCTCGTTTAAAAAAGGAAAAGGTATGAATTTCTTGATCCAAGCGTACCGTACGTTGGGCAGTGGTTATTGTGAGAATGACTACGTCTTTTACAAGGAAAGCGAACAAGAGTACTTAAAGCCCAGGCACCTAAAAAGGGAACGGAATGCAGTCATTGGTGGGGGCAATGGCGCAGTTTTCCCGTGTTCAACAACAACTCAGTGGCATTTACTACAGTACGTTTTAAAGCAGCGACCTAACCGGCAAAGCTGGGGTTATTAGCCACAAACGCATTTGGCAACAAAAATTAGGTCCGATTTCGCCTTTGGAGCAAAAGGTATCGGAAGTCGTCTCGTAGCAATATTCAGCATCATCGTTTTTGTATACGCACCTGGAAATGCTTGAATAAATCGGATTTCATTCCCAACCGATTGCCTGAGATAATGTGCTCATGGCATTAGTGGTAGACTGGAAAATGCACAGAATGATTATCCGAATATCCCAACATAAGAGGAAGCAAATCGACGGATACACACAGAAGGGAAGCCGCAGGGCTAGGAAAGTTTAAGGAAAAAACGAGACAACCGAGCGAGGGAACCTGTTAAACATCTCAAGCGGCAAAAATAAGAGTGAAGCGAGCTCTTTCGGGTAAAGTATGGGATTTTCAGGATTTAACAATGTTTACCGCAGATTGAGGAAGATCAGAGTTTGGAACTTTAATCATACATCATTCTACACATCAGCGGGGGTGAGAAACAGCTAGTTATTGTACCGCAATTAAACGCAATTAAATGACAAAACAAATAAAAAGAAAAAATAACAAATGGGAAACAAAAAATTATTGTTTTATTATATACTATGCACCGACGACGAGGCCGTAGTTGGAGGAAAGGATAAGCTGCTTAGGAACAGATAAAGAAATTCACAACACAGATATCGATGATGTCGACTCGTAAACATGTCAACAAGTGTATTCGACCAAACATGTTCATTGTCTTCCAGACCCCAGCCCGACAGTTGGGAGACACCACACGACGCCAATTTCAAAGTGAGAGCTTCCATTTCTCTTAACCAAGTCTTCGCTTGTCCTCCCCTCATCTTCTTCCACCCAGACCACGGTAGTCTAAACAGCGCCCGCCGCGGGAGTCGGTGTGCCATGTTTAATGTATGACACCGCCATTGGAGCCTGGTGCGTGAAATGACGGTGCTGAGTGGTTCAATTTCTCTCCCTGTGCCAGGCGCAGGATGACGAACACGCGCAGGGCCCAGAAGGTGATCTCAGCAGATGCGAGCCAAACTGAAAGGCACTGGTGGTCAAACATAACAAGCCACCTTACTCCTGCCGATCTGATGCATCAAGTTTCACAACTATAGAGAAGGGTTGAACGGATGGCTGCATTGTACACCCTACTCATCAGAACGTAATTGATGTCGCGTCGGTGCCACAAGTGACGAGGAATAGTTGCAATACCTCGAGTTTTTGATATACGGTTTTTCACATCATCTATTCTACATGCGATAGTACAGCTGTCCATGCAGGTGAATTTCTAGATAACTTCTGGCTGATCCCCAACAACGGTCGGTGTAGAGGTGGACCCTGCCATACCTGGAGAAGAGGTTGGTATTTTGATGGTGTTGTATAACCCTCCCAGCCATAAGAAAGTCTGGGCAATGATCAGAGTCCGCCATCAAAAATTCAAGGCACGTTTAATACTGTAGACAAATGGGGAATGGTTGTCTGCCGGCATTGCCTACACACTGGCCGCTTCCTCTTCATATGTGACCTTTGCGTTATTTTGTGTTGACTGGTCGCACGCACAGCTTGTCTCCGTCGACCTCTGTTCCATCTTCGTCCATTCGGCATACACCACGGTTGCGTACGACAACTCCGTCTTATCTGTCCGATCTGTTGTGCCTAACTCGTCTGCAAATGGGTGTTCCGGCCAAGCCGATCCGTCACTGAGCCAACCGCGATTCCTCTCTCCGGATCATCGATCCGTGCATCTGATTAGCTAATTTGCCAAATGCTATCAACTACCCTTCGCGGAAGCGGTTATCCGGTACCACACACGCCTGACTCTCTTGCAGCCCCTGATTGGCCCGCATGGATACAGCAGGCTCATTAGCTTTTCTCAAGCGACTACCCTTTAGCACAGATGGTGCCAACCAAAGCCGGAAACTGTTGACAGCCAGTGCTAATCCGTCCAGTGTCGCTTGGCACGTTTGTGAGCTGTTATGTATGAGGGCAATATCGTCAACAGACTCCACCTGAAAGCAGCTTCACATGTTCTGACGCGGTTTCTGTGGAGCCTGCAAGTTCTTTTTAAAGGTTGTATCGTGGTTTAATAGTCTGAACAAAAATGGATACCACTTATCTGAAGGCATGATTCGATTTGATGACTGCACAGAGTAATAGGATAATTCCCCAAAGTTCCACGAGTGTCATTCGTTAGGTTATAAAGAATATATGAAAACAGCACAATCCTTAGCTGGGTTACTATTCTTCACCGAAATGACAAAAGCTTTGCTTCACCCGCTACTCGCAGCGAAATCCACGGCGGTCAAAAGATCAGCACAGACGATAATTTTGAAAATTCGTCCAGAGCTATTTTTGGTGTTAGTAACTTTATTTTGCTGACACGAATAGGTCGTGAAAATAGAAAAAACCTTGCTTAATAAAATTCGTTGAGTGGAAAGCGCATAAAAAGCACAAAAGGTAAGAAAGTCCTGAAAACCCAGAAGGGTGATTCTCCGGAAAGACGCGAGTATATCATCAGGAAAAACTCTGAAATCGAAATCGGTGGATGGCATCGAAACTTGCATAAGCAAAGACAGTAGAAAAACCAGAACTCACGGTATTTGCTCTGCGACTGTTAAGAGAGCTTCACTGGGAAGAGGTTTATCTGGAGAATACAGATTGGCGTCGAATATCATCCATTGGTTGTTGTAACTATAAAAGTGAGAAGTGTAAGCTACTACTGGATAGTAACGAATTATTGAAAACTTGACATAGCTGTTGAAACGACGACCTTCCGTTTAATGGGTGTTCCCAAAATAATTCAAAAAAGTAGCCCTTTTTAACGAATTCCGAGTATGTAGGACACAGAGCAATTTCTAAGTTGAACTACACAGCCCTGTTTGCTGAGCAGGCATCAAGAGAGAAATGAATGCCATATAAAGAAAAGGAGATCTGAAATTTGCATATCTACTATGATAAGTGAAATCTGTCAACTCTGTAAGTTACAAAATCAAAGTCAAGCCATATAACTTTTTTATCACACCCATGAAAAACGAACCGGCGAACGCTACGTTTTCGTTGCCAATGCGCAGAGTAGATGAGAGGTACTAAGATCCACTATGGCTGATACGTGGGCAATGAAGACAAATGCAACGAGAGAGGAAGACTGAACTTCAGCATTATCGCTCGTAAAAGCTTAGTCAAAGGCGAACACAAGGTTGTACACCTTCTGATTTACCTCATAACTAGTAAGCAGTTCCTTAATGCGTATAGCGCACAAGTCAATTTACAGACCAAGTTTGAAAAGTCGTTGTTCCGAAGGGGTTCCCCAGCCCTCTGTGTGACAGTAACGTGCAGTTAGTGGAAAGTAAGTTGCACTATATCACATATACTGACATAGCCAAGTCGGCTCTGATCATACTCAAAGGTTGGTAAGAGTGAGCGCGCGGGTTTTGGCCCAACCGGGAACAACAGGAATGTGCATAACTTACAATTCTTCAAGGGATGAAACGGACGCTCTTCTGAGTGTGTGACGGCCATCTGACTGGAGGCAGTTGTGGAGAATTCTACTTTTAGCATTATTTATTCACCGAGTAGGCACGAGGAAGTTGTAGACTAAGAACTACTCCGTTTTGGTGTAACCTCCGTACGAAGGCACTTAGGTGAGAACACGTGACCTTCTCGTAGCTCTAATAACGTGTTTTCCAAGTCAGATACAGGTAGATTGCCGCACAACTCTACTACGTCAGTTAGATGCAAGTGTGCAGAAAGCCTAATGGTTGTGTTACTGCCAACAGACCGTCTATCCGATTTGATAAAGTCACAACTGTGCGAACCGATTAAACTGTAACTAGTGAAATAGACAAACCACAGCTGGGAATGAGTGAGAAACTAGTTAAATGACTGAGGTTCCCTATCAACCGCAGAAGCGAATGTCTAGTGGAGCAATGCATTGATGGCCGTATTACTATACTTGAGTATTTGAGCTTATCCGCATTTATTATCAGTGGCAACCACCCAATATTCCTGAAAGACTCAATCGATCAATTAGCCCCCCCCCCAAAGAGTAGTATGAGAACTGCTCTGGAAAAGTTGAAAAAACTAATCTGTTAAATGTGATCCCGTTGTACATAATGATCAGACTATACAGTTGGACTGTTCTTCGCACAGTCGGGGAACATACCGCTTATTTAGCCACTTATTTATTTAAATATTTATAAAAGGAAACGAAGCAAGTATTCCACATGGCCAGTTGGTTTTTCTGGTTAACCTTAACAAACCCCGCGAAGGATTATGGATTAAAAAAAGACTATCGGGAAATGAGGTAATGCGGGAACTTCTTTATCCGATCTTATATAGGATACGCTATTTGTGATAGTAGCAGGTCGTTTGAGCCAAGCTGCCAATGGACTGTAGGCAGGCATGAGGCAATAAAATCCCCATCCAACCTGAGCGAAGCAGCAACTAAGGCGCCGTTGATTATCCTCTACAACGGTTAGCGCATGAAGACATTGTTTGAAGAGGTCATTGTATTGTGTGGTCAAGATACTATCAAAAAGCTCCGGTTTAGACAGCAGAACGATTAGGGTTCTTAATCAGTTTGTGGGTTCATAAACTTGATCAAAATTTGGCACTGAGCCACACAGAATCCATTCGAAGTAGTAAGTAACCGGCCCGTAACCTTAAGGATCACAAGCTTGATTTGTAGTCTGAGGGCGCGGGTTCGAGCTTGCGTATGGACCAGGCGACTCTCGCAGTATGCTTAGCTCACGTGCGACCTGTGGTGGTCGCCCGCAGCGAAGCGTCGGTACTGAGTACCAGCGCACTGGCGCTGCCACCTTCACTCCAACCCCCAACTTTAAGGGCCGGAGACTGAGTTAGTTTGGCCTCTAACCATTGACGAATTCGGTATGGGTGGTACTGAAGGTGCAGAAAGCACTACCTAACATAGTTCAATGGATCGCTGAGGCACCCAAACCGTCGCGTCCGGGAGCTTCAGTTCGTTCCAGCAGAAAGTCTTCCAAATTGTGACGTGTGAAATCAATCTCCCATCTGGCTTAAGATGATTCAGCTAACGATAGTCGCACTGGGTACACCGAACTGCTGCTGAAAACGTTCCGCTAAACGACTAGTCAACGTGACTGAGAAGGAATCAGTTTTCTATTTTTCCAATTTACTGTCGCACATAACTGAGGCTTTCATGGGCCTATGCTCCGGACGAGTTCCCACTAGCACTGGATTTCTCCATCGCACGGTCATTGCTAAGCCTACTAGTCAGCCGTCGTTTGCAGGTGTTACAGACACAATGTAGCTCAGTACCCAATGTGTCCTGTTTATGTGCTTCGAGCAAACTGACCAGTGACTCAGAAATCCATTTATGGTTGGGACTTCTCAAGTTAGCATACAGCAGGCGCCACACGAATTTTAATGACACATTTGCGGCTATTCCCGTTAAGGATAACTGATGGGCCAGTTCGACGTGATGCTGCTAAGTAGCGAAACTTGACCACAAATTACAGTTTTGTGGCTTGGAAGATGGACACTTCTTTGAACTGGGAAGAGTGAGCGCCATGCGTACGCAAACTACGAAATGGTCGGAATCCAAATTAACAGTCTTAAAACGATGTATGCCAGCTGGGGCTAATGGTAATATAGATAGTTTAGTTCCATGTTATCGAGGAATTCCGTGGGCATCAGGTGGTACGATATGAGCGTGAGCAGCACATAGTTGCAGGAATCGATCGCTATTATCCGTTCGGCATGCGTCAAGCCCGAAACACTCAAGCGTTGCTCAGATTCTAAATAGACATTCATGCTGACGGCAACAATCACGATATCGTACATCATAAGGAAAAGCAACGTGTTCAAGATATAATTCGTCTTTGATACGTTCTGGTCTATAGTCGGTGATGTGATAAACCGAAACAATGTAAAAGCACCTTATCCTCAGATGGTATGTATTCTTCCCAATGGAATTCTGACCCATAGCCGGTGGCGGAGCAATAGACTTCGTCCTTCCTCTTCACTTATGCAATGGAAAATGTTCTGCAGAGAGATGCAGTAGGTTAACCAGCTTTTGGCGTAGCAACTCTTCCAGATACTGGAACGCCCAGTTTAGACTGACTAATGATGTTGCCATGCTCTAGGAGAGTTCACAACTCATTTTTGTTCGTTCAAGGATTAAGATGTATGAGTATGGGACTCTCGTACTCATCATAATGGGCAGCGCTGCTCCAGGACAAGTCTGTACACTCGCCCTTGAAGTTACACAACTTAGAAGATAGGTTGATCGGTCGATTAATGATAATAAACTGCTGCTGAAGGTGCGACTGAAAATGAGGAGTATTTTCGTGGAGCTGAAGTCCAGTCGGTATTTTTCAATCTGAAAACCTTGTGCCATTGTCTGGATGTCTGCAACGTGTCGAATAGCTAGATTCACAAAACCGCTGTCCACAGGGTGTTGCTGGACGAGAACGAGTCTCGACCGGTTTGACAGAATGACATGTGCCGTTTACTATCTTTAATACTGGATATTTGCAGATCAGCACCGTGTTGTGGCAAGACCGAGTACACAACAACGTGCTTCAGGGATTTCGGATCTTATCTTCAGTAAGCTTATGCCGTCGAGCCAGTTAGGGTGCATCGGTCACATTCGACACGCGCTATAGGAACATACACCATGTCGAGGTGTATTTGCTCACGTAGAGTAGGCAGTGGAAGCAATCGCGTGGTATTCAACCTACCACCCGGCGAGAAAACATAAATGTTCCGACACTGGGTATCCAAGAATAAAGAACACCAACGGCCCAAATACGGGGGAATGTCGCAATGAACCGCACTGCCAGAAGCAATCGTATACATGATGGCATGGACCCAAGCCCAAAGTGTCTATTACTTAGAATGCGATGAGGTAGATGAAAAACGGCTCTTTGAAAATGCTTCTTATATGGATTAACGATACCTATGTATACACAGAGAATAACTATATATATATATATATATATATATATATATATATATATATATATATATATATATATATATACGTATGTGTGATGTTGTATGACTGACCACACGAGAGTTGACAGTTGCGTGTTTATACTCTTTCACTAAGTCTGTGTCTAATAAGTCACATGTGTAATGAGAGTTTAGGGCTGCTATAATACCGAAGTGTGCGCTTCATTGTTTATGCTTCGTTTGTGTACCGAGAACGTGGTGGTCAGACGAGTAAGCTGGTTGAAACGGGGACCACAAGCTAGACGATATTAGTGGAGTCACGAATGAACATCCAACGACAGTGGCCGAGTGGCATCATCGATTAAATTCCCTTACTAAATGTTGCGAGGTGTATGTGTTCGCAAGGTGCTAAAAGCTCTTGTGTGTAGAGATACACCCGCTGCGCAGCGCACCAAGAGAAAGTCTCCAAAGCCTGAGATGATAATATATAGAGGTTAGCGACGAAACGAATGGGCTGTCTCAGAAGATTTATGCTATGACTATCGCTCCTTAGAGGTTACTAACACACTCAGTGAGTGCAACAAATGCAAACTTGTTAAAAGTATTGAATGAGCCTTCATCTTCTGCGCACTAAAGAGTCTGTGCCACTAGGTGCAAGCGTGTAGTAATAACCTCATAAGCTGAACACTTCAGGCGATCTGTTCCTAAGAAATATCAGGCTGTCCTGGTTAAAGGGAGCCAATGGTGACAGATACAAACCGGTCTATGAAGAGCAGACCAGATACAGCTTTCGAGTAATGTAGTAAAAAGTATTCCAAGAACAGAGATTAGAAACAGCATGCCAAAAAGAAAGTATTCAAACAGATCACATACGTTCCACTGTTTTGTTTCTGAAAATACGACACCCATTGTTGTCCGTTTACGGCCAACCTGTTGGCAAGCATCACACGGAAAGGTTCCAAAACGGAACTACGAGCACCATTTTTGACAAGCGGCCAAAGTTCGTCGTTTGAATTACCAATCGTGGTCTCCATGGTAACCTTTAATAATAAGTCACAGATTCCGTACCAAGTTAACATCTTGACAACATGTATATACTGAGCTTAATTATCAAAATGAAGTTGTCAGATCACAACGTTTTATTTTCCAAACAAGATGCCATGAGCAATGAAAGTAACCAAGACTGTGGTACAAAGGAGCTCGACCAAAACCTTGTTGTGGTTACAAGTAGCAAGTCGCAAAACCTAATCGGGACAAATAAACACACGGCATGCATACTACTTGATTACCTTCAGGTTATGGTTGATGGAAACAGCTAAAATTTCGCCTAAATAAAACGTCAACATACTTTAAACGGAGTTCGGTTGGTCTAACATGATTGATGCACCAGTGGTTCGGTTGTACTAGCACAAATCGCCAGGGCAATAATAAAAGTAGATGATGGGGAAAATTAGTGGAAGAGAAGAGCACTCCGAGGAAAACAGAAAGATAACGGTAGAGGACGTAGAGAATAAGCTTAAAGACAACTCAGAGTACATAACTGCACCATATACCATGGGTCGTTTAATCATTGACGCGAACCGTATGGAGGGCTCTAGAAGGATATGTACCAACCAGACCGCACCAGGATCCGTTCTTTTAGATCTTTCGCCATATCATTGACTGCGTTTCCGACATTTCATCCAAACAGAAACAATGCTTCCAAGTGTCACGTCTTGAAACAGGGGAATGGTGGGTATGCGCAGAACATTCCAATGCGGTAATGGTCTGCTGACAGAAACGTTCAGTATGCTAATCCCATCTGAGTAATAGTCGGCAGATACAGGTCGCTAAACAAAGTTGGCACTCCAATGCCTTCAGCACGTAGCGTCCAGTAAACAGATTTTTTTAAAAACTAACACTATCCGCAATGCAGGGTTGCATATCATACCCTTGATCAACAAACGTACGCCTCGCCTTCTCCTCAATAACTCGTAATTACATCTTTCCTGTATTTTGAACACCAATAATACTGTTGCTGCTTTGGCCTTTGAAACGGTACATCACATCAAAAATTACTATACAACAGTGGAAATTATCAATGCCGTTAAAATCCTTTAGTCAGTATTTTGAACTTTAACTGTTTGGGGAATATAACCTGGAGTTAGGTGTCAGAAGCTTCAGTAAGACTTGCACCGAAAATTGTCGGACCCAAACAAAGTTATAGAAAACGCAAGCTGAATTTGTTAGTCTATAAATCAATAGTTTCAACTACTGAGGCAAAACGGAGTCACTGATAGGAAATTTGAATCCAGGACAATATTGAGAAGGAGTGACAGAATATCCTTGCGAATTCACGTGAAATGTGGAGGACACATAGGACAACTTCTAGAAGATGTTCATCTGATCTTGGAAGTTGTAGTATAGCGATTTCAAGAGCCTTACTGTAGACTGATGCAGAACGAGCATCACCAAAAAAGACGTCTCTATATCACGAATAAATGCCGTTTGCAGATATTATGCTACCCGAGAACTCAGAAAATTGTTAATAGGTGGCAGACCACTCCATACATAGGAAGATATTAGATGATTTACTTTTGTGCGATTCCGGCTGAACTGATATTGTTCTCTGCTAGTTCCCCACCTCTGCCAAAAACATAAGTCAGCGAGTTGCTGGAAAGGTGACTACCGAAACGGGTTCAAGTAGCATGATGCATGTGTAGTGAATCGATTGCTAATCATGGACTGAAACAACCCATCTGCTGACAATGTTATCAGATTGAGTCCAAGCTAGCCATTAAGTGGGTGTCGTATGGTGTGCCACGAAGATTTTTCATGCAAGCCGCGCTGCTGATACAAAACGTATCGTTGACACAGAGCGAAATGAAGTGGTCTCTATAGTCAATACTATAGGTACCAACTCCCAAAACGGATTCTGAGACGATGTTCTGACTTCGAGGAATTATGTCCGCCGTAATAGTCAAAATACATGGACTTTTGCTGTTTAAATTACAGGTGAGGGGTATTCATAGAATTCAAATTTTACGATCTGCGTGCTATAGCCGATGAGATTGTAAGCTGGAAAAAAGAAACGTGTCGTACTTTGGGCTACTGCTTATTGCCTTCATCGAAGCTTTGAGGTCTAAATACAAATATGTAGCTGTTCAATGCGACTGACACTGGAGGCACCGCTTTTGTACGCCCGACGAGAGCGACTCCGAAACCCTAAAAGCGGAAGCCATGGATTCGACATCACCGAAAACGCAAAGTCCACAGTTTGAATCATCGTAACCCGCGTCTAGTAAGCGCAGATGTGCTAGGACGCAGTTTCCTTTCATCCATGTTTCGGGGAGGGAGTGCAAATAACATCAAGGGAAAGCAAAGTCATAGTGCTTGTTCCAAACCGGCCGACCTAACCTAGAGTGTCGAGGTTGAAGCACCCAAAGTGGAATCGCACTACGGATATCAGAGTTAGCTTTTTCTCACGCTGATGCAGTTAAACGTATGTTCAAATTAGGAAAGGAAACTTAAAAGAAACGGGAAGTAGAAGTTAACAGCGTTAGTTTGACGGAGTCCGTCTGACAGAGATTGCTCACTAGGATATGCTACAAGTCAATCTCACAGCGTCCCGAACACTGCAAAACGAGTCGTCGTGATCTCAAAAGCGTGATGTTGTACAAGCGAGTTTATTGCGAGTTATTGCGTGTTTGTACCCTATCGACAGGAACAACGTGGATTGGGGTAGACAGTAGCGGAACAGTAAACAAGGATTGTAATTCCCAACGTCAGGTACAACCCTTGTTACAGGTGCTCTACGATGGCCAAACTGAGCAAAACACGCCGACTGTTGCCCCCCATGGCTAACTTGTAATAGGAGGGAGTCACGGAATTCACCTTAATCCTTAGTAGGGAGGAGAAGTGAGGCTTTGTAGGTCCGAGATGTGAGCAGAAACCAGTCGGAGACTTGTCGCTTTGACGGCAATAAGAACCTGGCGTTCAGTGTCGCTCAATACAGTACAATAAAGGGGAATATATATATACTCAGTCTTGCTGTGATAATGTTAGGGTGGAAAGTGAGTTAAAAAGCTGAAGAGTAAATACACTGAAAGCTAGTAAGCTTGTAGTGTCATCGGAAAGCAACAAAAAACGCGGAGACATAAGGGCGGTGATATCTACTCCCGGATTAGCCTGCTACATGGCCTTGAACAGCATCTTACTCTGACGCCCACACAGGGACCATGGGTGGCCTGCAGTACGTCATCCACGGCTCCACTCACACATACAATATCAGATAAGACCAAGAGAGACATCAGTTTGGTTAAACAACTATGATCCGAGCACGGACGTGCGGCAGATCCAGTTGCCGCGACTCACATCGCAAGAATAACAATAGATAATAACGGCAAGATAGTGGAGTTAAATACAAATAGAAGGAAGAGAAAACGCAGAAAGGTGTGTTAGACTAATCAAAATGGAAGGAGAATTAACAAACAGATGAAAGAAACTGAATGCAGGAACGCCACCGACTCCGTGACTGCGCCATGTCTGACACGGTCTCCAACCATTGGTGTGGACCATCCCGATGCCCTTTTCCAAGAAGACGGCATGCACTAGCCTGACCAAGTCCCACGGTCGGTTTGTTCAAGGGTTTCTGCCACGTCGTTGACTGGCCAGCTCGGGATTTCGCCCATCTTGGTGCGACCACGGCGTATGATGCACACCGATGAAGCCGATCAACGAACATACGGAGGACGTGGTCTAGTCAACTAAAGTGGTCAGAATGCAACTAGCCCACTAGTGAGACTTCAGAAGCCTTCTTGCCAAAAATCAACTGGTGGACCTCAACATTGCACATGCATATGTGTTGTAACGCTTCTTCTTTCCCTCTGCTCTCTGCCACTGACAACTGTTGTACTGCTTGCTTTGCTGCCCTGTGAGACTGCGACTGTCTGACTGCTCAGTCACGCGCCCAGCCAACCGAAGGAATACAAAAGGGCAGAACTCGGTAGACAGAGTGTATCTATAGGATATGTTAAGTATATTTATCGGTAAACTAAACATGTTAATTTAGGAGGGCAAGAGCACTCACTCTTCTGAGTCTGGTTTACAGCCAGTGGGAGTGAATTACGCTCCAAGGGTTTGTCATGTTGACGGAATAGTTCGATTCCTTTGAGGCGGGCTTGTATTTGCTGGCGGATTAATTCTCACTCGATTCCCAAATTCAGTGGAAAGGTCAAGGCTCGTAACACACCCGTACTGCTAACCATTGCATGTAGCGGACCGCCTAAGTGCTCCGCTTACGCCTCTATTATCTTCTTTCGAATTTAGTATGTCAGCGTACCGAGGAAACTCGACTTTATTCATAGGTTTCGCTTTGGGAGCAACTTACAGCCACAGTGGTCGTCTCCGCTTTCGGGCCGGCCAGCATTGTGTGTCATCTGCTGCTCGCATGTTATGTTGTGATCGACGTAGCTGCTCAGATTTGTCTTACAAACAAAACGTGTTTAGCAGGATATCCCATCGTAGGGATGGCGGTTCTGGGGGACTTTGAGTCTTGCCGTGAATCCGCCTCAGCTGATTGGCGTGCCTGACCCACTTCTCATTTCCTACCATTACCTCGTGGATGAGCTAACCGTTTCTGCGGATCACTCTTCCTGTCAACCGTCTCCTCGGTCCTCGGAATTCTCGTGCGTACACCATTTTCCCAAAAATGTGAAATTACGCATGCTGTCTGTCCGTTTTCCCCCCGCATGATAACTGCAACGCTTTTCATTCCTGTGTGGTACAAGGCGCTTTGCTCTGGATACTGGTTTAGTGACTGACTTGAGGTTCAGGGCAGCATTGGTGATTCTGCAGCATTCCGGACCAGGTTGGGGCACTGCTTCATGGCGTCTTCTCATCTGGGTAATCTGACTTTGAATTATCGAACTTGATATTGATGGTTGCGACAGCTGGTTGGCTTGCGGTGGCTGGCACACACTGTTTAACGGCTGATCAAGCAAATTAAACTCTTCCATCCAGTCGAGCCCCAGCAAATCTAACCCCAGTCGGTCTGTCACAA